TACAAACAACCGTTATGTGAACAAAACTATAATACTTTCTTTAGCAACTTTGTTGCGAGAGTATAAAAAAAGTTCTAATCGGAAAACTTTTTAATGGTTATATTAACCCTTCGAAATTCAGCGATCCCACTCTTCTTTCTCTTTCTGTATAGTGCGAGCTCTACCACACTTTTTAGATCTTTAAGATTTCAACTCCTCTTCAGCTCAAGAAAATTAGACCGCAACAAAGTTCTGAATACGTAAGCGCTGAATGCGATAGCTCAAAGCACCGCATATGAATTTGCAGGCTTGCCATTTATTATTTTTTTTTATTTCGCTGTAGCGTCGCTGCTCTGACTCTCTTGCAAAATAGTTGACGCTCTTTCGAAAAACAAAGTGAAGCCAAGCCATTTTCTATAAGTCTTAACCTAATACAGTTCTTACAAAGGCGAGAAGGCCATTTAAATGATGTTACATTCATAACTTCAAGTATCGATTGTACTGCACATTAAATAAAAGACGTTTAAATTTCCTCTACAATTTGCGTGCTTAACGATTTTTCTTTTAAAGAAATCATATCACTCATATTGGGAAGCCCTGTCATCATCATTTATAGATCAAGTAACCAGCTGAGTGTAAAAAACGAATTCGTCTTTGTGATATCACTCGATTAAAATCAAGTTTTTGAATGGAAAATTAACATATTTGTGAAGGGCATTGTAACTTCAGTGCAAACGAATAAACACATTGCTTCACCAATGACTTAAGGGTTTATAGTTGGACAACACATTAGCTTTTAAATAGAAATAAATATTAATCAAGTGGTAGATTGGTGAAAAAAGCTGCATCTGTCCAAACCATTTCCGTACAATCAGGGTGAAGGATCAAATCTATACCATCTTTAAAGGATCTGGATTGACCTAACTTCGTAATAATGATAACAACGAGATATTTAAAATAAGCTTTCACGTAATCTGCCTATGACTAATCATTTAAGCCCTCATACAAATTAATTGTAACTTTTTTTATTCTATAAATTCATAACGGCTCTCATTCTTGTGCTCACCAGATGATTGATATAAGATTGTATTTAATACTAGTGCTCGAGCTAAAAATTGGCTTTATGTAAAAAGGCGTAAATCAAATACATGATGATGATTTATGATGAAAGACCTTAAAGTTGGCACCTTTATTCACCAGCTATCTACCTTTTGCCACTTCATACTTAGTTAATTCTTCATAATATTAAATCAATAAAATAATTCTTTCAAGTGAAAAGGGTTTCCTGCCAGAACTAAATTTTTTTTTTGAAAAAAAAAAACAAACGAAATGACCAAAAAATCTTAAAAAAAAAAACATAAATAAATTTCCACAAGACATATCACCGCTATTATTTTATTTGCACATATTTTTCACCGCAACAGCGACAGCTGTACAAACAGCACGGCGTATGAGCAACCACAATGAGAGCACTCAACAAACACGCATACAATCATAGAAACCTGCTTGCCGTGGGTTGCAGGGTCGCAGGATATTGCAAGTGCCATTTGAGTAAATAGCTGACATTGCCTTTTGTGACAGTCGGAAAAATTTGCGTCCAACGGCACACACGCAATGTGAGTAGCAACACAAAAGAACAACAGCCACACATTCCAGCAGCAAACGGAAGCGAACGAACAGCAACACGCAGGACCAACACATTAACAATTGAAGCAGTTGTTGTTGTTGGCTATTTATAGTTGTGCGTCTGAGGAGTTTTCGGCTACATGTAAAAAAGTAAGCGGCGATGGCATGCCAGACGGCACTGAGGCGCTGTGGCAATCATATAACGAAAAGGACAGCAAAATAAAAATGCGTCATAAAATGGTATGCCATCACACACTTCAACAAATATGTGTACTTAGTTGTGTGTATGCTGAGGTATATGGCTTTGTGCTTACCACCAACAAAGGGGTAACCAAAGTCATTACTCACGACGGCGGTATTTTTTCTGAGGGTGTGTCCACATGCTTGTTCAAAAATTTCTAAATTGCCTCAAATAGCTGTGCTGCATGTGTGGCAACTTCCACATGCAAAGGCATGTCTTTACACCCACCCACACACACTTAAGTACAGGTATAGCAGTTTATGCGTGAAGTCGTATGTGGCATGCTTGTTACGCAATGGGCAGCTTTGAACAGCTTGAGGGTGTCTGCATAGTCAAACTTTATTTTTATTGTTACTCCGTGTTCCTTTTTTTACTTACTGTTTTCCATTGTTTTAGAAACACGCAACAGCTGAGGGTTCAGCGCCGCTTTGCAACTTTTAATAATTTGTCTCCGTTTGCGTTAAAGAGACACTAACAAATGTAGCAGCTTACCACATGACATTTCATCATTTGTCAAAACCTTTTAAGCATTCCTTACAACTACTAAGCATGTTGGATAAACTACTAATTCGACATTTAAAAAGCAGAAAGTTAGTTTGGGCTATTTTTAGACCTGTTTAGTTTTCAAGTTTTGGTGTATTTTATGTTTTGTTTGCTTTGAAGATATTAAAGGTCACAAATGAAATTTAAACCA